ATATATATATATATATAGATAGATATATTTCGTTGAAATGATGTGAGTTTGTGGCCCTGGGTTTCACGCTTTTGCAAAAGCGTGAAACCCAGGGTCACAAACTAACATCATTCCAACCAAATATGTTAGCTCGATCTCTGATATTGAGCGCTTTCTAATAAGTACCGCGCATATAATATATAAATAATAATATATATAATATATTACATATATATATTTATATTTATATACACACACTTTTCACACACACACACACACACACACACACACACACACACACACACACACACACACACACACACACATATACAGTAGCGTCCAAAACTAAGGGACAAAATTTTAAAACCTAATATTTGTTAGAAATAACAACTGTGAAAAGCTGAAATTTTGACAACTGGTAGTCCTTATCATCAATAATAACATACTAAAATTTGAATCATTTGCAAAGGATAGAAAAAGAATTATAACAATTATTTATTTATTTTCAAATTTGGAACGTCCAAAAGTAAGGGACAAAATTGAGAAAAACGATGTAAACGACAAACAAAACAATAAAAATACATGTACAATCAATATTTGGTAAATGAGCCCTTGCTCTCAATGACAGCTGCACATCTTCGACTACAAGAACGAATCAGTTCTTGACAATCCTCGATACTAATTTTAGACCATACTTCTTGAAGCTTCACCCACAAATCCTCCGTGTTAGTGGGATTTCTTTCCATAACTTTCACTCCTAAGTTCTTCCAAAGACTTTCTATTGGATTTAAGTCAGAACTTTGCGGTGGCCAATCCATAATTTCCAAATCTTGCTCGCTAAGGTAACTCATTACTACCTTTGCTTTGTGATATGGGGCATTATCTTGCATAAAGGTAGCCCTATCGAAACCTGAATTCTGTATGATTGGCACAACATGATCTTGAACAATGTTTTTTATAGATCTGCGCGTTTACACGAGTTTGTAACCGGACAAGAGGCGTTGTACCTTGGCTAGAAAACATTCCAAATACCATGACGCTTCCGCCCCCAAACTTGACAGTTTTCTTAGTACACTTTGCACTTAATCTTTCACCAATACGTCTCTTTACATTGTTTTTTTCCATCATTTCCAAATAAATTAAACTTGCTTTCATCACTGAAAAATACTTTTGCCGAATTTTCATATGTCCAAATTACATACCTGTTTGCAAACTCTAATCTCTTCTTATTCTTCGAACTAACAAGTGGTTTCTTCCCTGGGGTTCGATTAAACAGCACTATTTCTTGCAGTCGTCTACAAACAGTCTGTCTTGACACATTAACACATGAGGTACTATTCATAACCCTTTTAATTTCTGTACAAGACTTAAAACGGTCCTTTAATGACATTCGCTGCATTATTCGATCTTCTCTTGCCGAAGTTTTGCGGGGTCTGCCGGTTTTAAAAGCACTAACTATTTTGCCAGTATCATTGTAGGATTTAACAACCCTGCCTACAACACTCTTGGAACGTTTCACTTTCTCTGAAATCTCTCTAATGGTGTGCTTTTCATTGTGTAGCTTCACAATGGCTTGTCTCACAGAGTAATCAAGTTTTTGGCGTTTCGCCATGGTGCCGGCTGATGCAACGTTTACAAATCTTTATTCTTTAGAGGAAATCAAAAATTTGAATATAGCATACTGTTTACATTGTTTTTCTCAATTTTGTCCCTTACTTTTGGACGATCCTATTTTGAAAATAAATAAATAATTGTTATAATTCTTTTTCTATCATTTGCAAATGATTCAAATTTTAGTATGTTATTATGGATGATAACGACTACCAGTTTTCAAAATTTAAGCTTTTCAAGAGTTGTTATTTCTAACAAATATTAGGTTTTAAAATTGTGTCCCTTAGTTTTGGACGCTACTGTATATATATATATATATATATATATATATATATATATATATATATATATATATATAATAAATATAGATAACTAGACTCGTTTCGAAAAACCCTCGAATTTTTGATTTGCTAATCAAATCAATCTCGAGGGAAAAAAAGGTTTTAAAAAAAAGAAAGAGCTACAAACATGAACTTCTGCCGACAAAAAAATCGCACAGATGCAGGTCTGAAGCCCAAAGAAAAAACCCCGATACGAGTAACAACTAACTAACAAAAGAGCTCAATACAACCGTAGAGCAGACCTAGATACACCTAGTGAGCCAGGCAAACCTGAGAACAGTGCAGATTATTCGTAAAGAGTTGGATGAGTATAATGGTGATTACGAAAGTACGGTAGCTCGGAAAACTCACGCTGATCGTTCAATTTTGTTGGTGTGTGTCTCAGAGTCAATACGGAGGCCCACATCAAGTGACATGCTGTCCTGGGGAAAGTGTGTGGCTACTCGAAGACCTTATGCCTGGCAAGAGGAATCTGAACCAAGCTACACAAGCAGGAGAACCCACTCATCTGACTACATAACGTCTTTACATCTAGCCACATAACTCACCAGATGGCAACCTACTTGATTATTATGTTTGGGGCGCACTTGAGGGAGAAACAAACAAAACTCCTTGTAACATCAAAGACGAACTGAAAGCATGGATTATGGCAGCATTTACCAATATAAACAAGTAGATCACCCAAAAGAGTTGCTGGAGATATATTTTTATATGTGTTAAAATAAGATGAAATGTTATTTTCATTTTTGTGTAATTTAGTCAACAATTTATCCATCCCACCATGTGTGTGTGAATATATATATATATATATATATATATATATATATATATATATAATTATTTTTTATAAAAAAAAATTATAACATAAGTATGTTATAAAATCACTACAAAAATAGCCATTTTGTTTCAACACACTCTGTGTCTTATCAAGTGATGATGTTGAAAAGAAAATAAATGGTTTTAAAAGTTTCAGATTAATTAACGATCCTACACTAGGGGAAAACATTGTTACAAAAGCTAGAACAACCAATCAAAAACCAAGTATTGAAAGATTCAAAAGCTTGACAACGAAATCATGTTATAATAGCTATTCAGATCTTTAAAATACGTGTAATATTAAAAATAAGTTATACTAACCAATAATTATAAAATTATATGATAAAATTTAATATTTAAAATTTAATTTTAATTTTATTTTCAACATCATCACTTGATAAGACACAGAGTGTGTTGAAACAAAATGGTTATTTTTGTAGTGATTTTAAAACATACTTATGTTATAATTTTTTTTTTTATAAAAAATAATTATATCTGCTCTACTTTGTATTGAGCACTTTTTAAGAATAGTAATTGTTGGTTATTGAAATTCATTCCGTATATACCAATTATATACTTGGATATATATATATATATATATATATATATATATATATATATATATATATATATATATATATAAACAATTATCCATCCCACCATGTGTGTGTATATATATATATATATATATATATATATATATATATATATATATATATATATATAATAAAAAATCATCAACAGAGAAACTGTTTTGCTCTATCACAGCTCATCAATGTGGCTAGACATCCGATTGCTTTAAGCCGGGATCGGAACCCGACTGATTTGCCAACAGTCGGAGATTTCCCCCTAAGCCATCGGCGCACGGCTGAAAGAAAGACGAATTTTAACGTACTCATTCTGTGAATAAACACGCCAATGACTGAGGACTAAGAGAGCTCAATTCAGGGAGGAAGAAGAGCCTTGTAATGTTAGTAGTAATAGTCATTTTTTTACAAATTCCGCTGTTGTTTACAAGTACCGCTCAGTGAGTTTTGGCGTAAATAATATAGTGTTCGATGCATGATAACAAGGTTGAAATTTATATTAATAATAATTAAGAATTTTGCTCCTAAACGGTATCACAACTCGGAGTTTCATGCAATCCTCATTTTCGTACCTGACGATTGCAATGAGCATGAAACTTTGAGTTGTGCTACCGGTAAGGAACAATATATATATATATATATATATATATATATATATATATATATCGAGAGAGAGAGAGTGTGTGTGTGTGTGTGAGTGAGAGAGAGAGAGAGAGAGAGAGAGAGAGAGAGAGAGAGAAGCACGGTGGAGTAGTGGATAGCGGCTCGGATTGAGGAATCGGAGAGTCGAGTTCGAATTCCAGTCGAATCCATTACATTCACTTACGTATTAATCCTCTTGGTAAAGGTATTAATCCTCCTCTTCTCTCTCCAGTTAGGGGTAAGTAGCAGAACAGACTGAGTTCTACACCCTTGGATGCAACTAGTCTAGGAGAAGGGCAACTCTAAAAACCTACAAATGCAGAGACCTTGTGGCCCGTTGTGCACCAGGTATCTGTATTCGGACCTTCAAAAAGTTTGGTTGATTCTGAACAAAGCCTTCACCACTATAATCAAATCCTATGTGCTGATGTCTGGGCTGTTGGTTCCTAGGAACTCATCTGCTTGACCTTCATACGTCGAATACGATGGGAGAGTCTATCATATATAAGTATTGTATATATGGTTAGCAATACTTCTTTTACGCATGTTTTATTGAATTCGGTGGATAGGGAATATTTTAAGTTTTTTTATGCAATTTTTTTAAAGTGTTATTTCAATTTTTCTTTAATGACGACCGAAAACTGTCCCTCGACATTTTGACTTGAGTGTCTTTTCTTGATATTTTATTGATTTTTAAGGTGTTATCGTTGGTGGGTCAATGTTTCGTTGTTAATATATTTTATATACATTTATATATTATTATATACTGTGTTGTGTCTGAGTTGGATTAATTTCGTTCGTTTCGTGAGTTATACTAATTTCGTTAAAGTTTTTGTTTAGTGCTCAAAATACAGCCTGAATGTTCTGACTGTTTTCGAAGCATATAATATTAAATGTTGTTTTGATGGTTTTTATTGGGAGTGCTTCAATTAATCTTGAATCATTTTTTTTGTATAATGTGTGTGCGCATAATACGGTCAGACATATTCATTTCGAAATAATTATAAGACAATATCGGGGAGATTCAATCAGCAAAAAACATATGAACATTTTGTAACGCAATAATGGGGACAGAGAGAGAGAGAAAGAGAGAGAGAGAGAGAAAGAGAGAGAGAGAGAAAGAGAGAGAGAGAAAGAAAGAGAGAGAAAGAAAGAGAGAGAAAGAGAGAGAAAGAAAGAGAGAAAGAGAAAGAGAAAGAGAGATAGATATAGAGTTTAATTTCTGGCAGTATCTTCTAATGAGTCCATGTAAATCCGGATTCCGAGGAACAAATATATCGAGTCCTATGTAAATATAAGGGCATCCATAGTCTTTTCCTCTGTGTTTCACCAAAACTGGAGAATATGAATGGGCTAAAATTGTGTTTATAGCATACGCATTTAAATGAGCAGATCTCTGCAAAAGAGACAAAGAGTGAGGAGCTGGAACACATGATGTATCTTTGACAAACGCATATAGACACACGCTTAAATTAGCACAATCAACAAGCATGTTCATATGCATCTACGCACACACACACACACACACACACACACACACACACACACACACACACACACACACATATATATATATAGATATATATATATATAGATATATGTATGTATTTCTGTGCTTGGAGCGAGTAAGACAAAAAAAAAACTTGATGACAATTAAGACTGCATAAAAGTGCACGGAATGAATACGAAAGTAAAGACATCTTTTTACCTGTTGCAAATTAAAGGAAATAAAGTAAAAAAAAAAAAAAGACACCTGTTCAGTGGCGGGATGTAGAGATAAAAAAAATTTGGAAGAAATTCCTGAGGATTTTAATTTTGCTCCCTGGTTTGGTAGAACTGCGGCTAAGGGCAAAAAATGAAAGAAATGCGGGAAAGGCGTTGGAGTCAGAGTTAGGGTTTCTAGGGTTAGTGGCGAAAAATGAACTGATGAGAGCGGAAAAGAAGACACGTCTTGTCAAAAGAGTAAACAAAAAAGTGCGGGAAAATGAAAGAAGGAAGAAACGAGTGCCAGATGAAGGTGAAAAGAACGAAAAAGAGAAAGAAAGAAAAATTAGAAGAAAATATTTAAAAAAAAAAATGATGAAGAAAAGAAAGAGAAAAAAAAAGAGATGAAAGACATCCATCGTTATCTGTCCTACAAGTCCTGCCCTTAAAGCAAGCTCATCTAGTAACCCTCTATCATGGATGATTCTTGACCCCTGAATTATGGGAAGAATAGTGAAAAAGGAAAGAGAAGGAAAAATGAAAGAAAATTTAAAGGAAAAGAAACAATAAAAGGAATAAAAGAAACATATAAAAAATAAAATAGTTTACATTGTGATTTCGTCATGCAAATGACGAAATCACAAGCCAATGTACCATTACGAAGGCACTTTCTGTCATCAATACATACATTTCATAATTATTTCACCCCAGGCAAAGCAATAAAGCCACAAAGGTACAAGAGTGTTAGAGAATATGAGAAAAAATACTATTTCGGAGAGAGAACAATAAATAAAGAAGAATTAAGAAGACAGAATAAAACGATTGACGTTGCATTTAAATATTTGACGATCAAAGTTGAGTTGGAAGCAAGAAACCAGAAGAGAGTTTCACCAGCATAAGTGCGATAGAAGGAAATATTAGCATAGAAGTTGCGGTTACATTTAGACATTTCAACTGTAAAGTGATTTGAGCCAATTACCAATCTAGTACTGTGCTTGAATTCATAAAGTCTAGCTACAACAGACGAAAATTCATCAGAACAATTAACAGGAAACTATTTATAAATATGTAGCAGAAGCACCACACCAGATGTGGCAGCAATATTCAAATCAAGGACAAATGTTAGACTTAAAAATTACTAGCAGTAGAAGCCGGCGTTGCCCGGGGATGTAGCAGTAACAAATAGATCAAGTATCGACCATCATAAAGACTGAAAAATAAAATTGACAAAGATTATTGTTTAAGGTTGACGGACACGCATGTCTTAATTAGTTTTTTTTTTTTTTTTTTACGAATTGGTCAAACCCAAACTCAAACAAAAACATTGTTTTCAATCGTTATGAGTCTACCGATTGAATAGAATTTTGTTATAGACAATTGTCTTGTAAATGGAATTTTTAAAGCATTCTGAATGTAAAAATAAAGAAAAAAGTGTGCAAAACAATAAGAAACACTACCGGTAAAAAAAAGTGAAGTTTTGTTGAAATCGGTTGAAAAATGTAGGAAATCCGATCCCATATTCGGTAGAGCCTCGTTTGGGGGATACCCTCTGACAAGCCAAAGTTATGCATTTATAAAATCTGTCATACCCATGCAACGGATATATTTCGCCTATAAAACAATGGTAAAGCTCTAGAAGTTTACTATGTTTTTATTATTACTGGATATGATCTTAACAACACGCTGTTTGATATCGGGTTGATGATAAATCCAGAAATAAAAAAAAATATAATTAGAAATTCTGGGACTCATAATGAGCTAAGAGGCTTTAGAGAAATTGAGATTAACGGGATGTAATGAAGGCAAGATGGTGAGAGCGAAATAGCAAATAATCTAGCTAACAAACTTTATAAATGGATAGCAGAATATGATATAGGAGGGGTAATAAGTAGACAAACATTTGATAGGAAATGGTGGAGAGCCATCATCGCCCACGCTCTGAAAGGACACAACACAAAAAGAACATTCATATTGTACAATTGTTCATTGGTTTGATTACTTCACCAGCGTATAAGAAGTTATTTGAGTTGAAAATAAAAATAAAAACTAAGTAGGAGTTGCACAGTAAGAAGGTGAATGGTAACTGGGGTCGACTGAATGCTATCTTGGATCAATTGATGGTAGCTTGGGTCCATTGAATGACAACGTCATCTTCAGTCGACTGAATGCTATCTTGGATCGATTGAATGGTATCTTCGGTTGACTGAATGCTACCTTGGATCAATTGATAGTAATTGGGTCAGTTGAATGATATCATGTGTCATCTTCAGTCGATTGAACGGTTTGTTGGATCGATTGAATGCCATCTTGGGTCAACTGAATGCAACTTTGGATCAATTGAATGATGACTTGGGTTCATTGAATGATATCATATGTCATCTTCAGTCGACTGAATGCTATCTTGGATCGATTGAATGGTATCATCGGTCGATTGAATGATATCTTGGATCGATTGAATGGTAACTTGGGTCCATTGAATGATATCATGTGTCATCTTCAGTCGCCTGAACGCTATCTTGGATCGATTGAATGGTATCTTCAGTCAACTGAATGCTATCTTTGATCGATTGAATGGTAACTTGTTTGTTTTAATAGTATCTTGAATTCGATTTGATCGTATATTGAATCGATGTAATAACATTGCTGGTTAAAAGCCTGGTTCGATTTTAAAAAAAATATCTTGTCTTGATCTAATGGTATTTCAGTTGTTTAATGGTATTTCAGTTGTTTAATGGTATTTCAGTTGTTTTATGTTATTTTCAGGTGTTTTAAGATATTTCACTTGTTTAATGGTATTTCAGTTGTTTAATGGTATTTTGGTTCGATTTAACTCATTCTATGTTTATTTGTATATACGGGTAGAGTATTAAAAGTAAATAACTATAATTATGTATACGGGTAGGTTACTAAAAGTAACTATCTATCTTATTTTTTTACATGAACTCAACAGAATCATTGCCACTAATTTATATATAGAATTCTTTCATAATTATTTAAAAAAATTAAAACTGCATCACTGACTTTCTCTTTTTGGTTTAAGAAAAAATGCATTCGCTGTAACTGTTGCTTCACATCTAATAAAAGTTGTGTAGAAACTGCTAGAGTTTATTTTTAAACAATTAAAGTTTTATTTTTCATTATTATTGTACTTACAGAATTTCACTGAAGGCATCTCTGAAAAAGGCAATGATTTGCATGTTAGTCCTGTAGTTCGTTTCTGATTTACTTGTTACTCGTTTTGAGTCACAAATATTGCTTTATACCAAAGTTAGCCATGACCAATCATTACAGAGTTTCTTTAATATTTAGTTATTTTCATGTTAGAAATTCAAAATGAAATTGTCTGTGGTTAGACCAATAAAGTTTTCATGATAAAACATAGCATTTATTTTATATATCAACTATTCATCTTTCAACATAAACTTTTTTATGTCATGGCACTTTATTTAGTGCTGAATATAAACCCCATATGCCAATATTATAGAGCGAAAATTTCCGATCAGAATTCAGCTAATTACGTATCAAGTAACAGATTCATCGATGAAGCGTCGTATTTTTTTTTTTTTTTTTTTTTTTTTTAAGCATTTCACCCCAAGCAAGGCGGGGAGCCACTAGGACGCAAGGGGTTACAGAAAATAGGAAGATCAGATAGGAGTGATAGAAGAAAGGATGAGGGTAGTAGATAGATTAAGGCAACTGGAGATGTCGATTGACATTACACATGAATAGCTGGAGATTATAACTCTCAGGGAAACAGGAGAAGGGAAGAGAGTTCCACAGGCGAGAGGTGCGAGACATGAAGCTATTAGAGTAGAAGAGACGGCTACATTTATGAGTTTCGACAGTGAAGGGGTGAGAGCGGGATGCCAGCCTCGTAGGGCGCTTGAACTCATGAAGTTTGGGAACCAGCGAATGCAGTTCCTCGGAGCAATTTCCATGAAAGTATTTGTAGAACAGACAGAGGGAGCGACGGTGCGTCTGTGAGAAAGTGACTGTAGACGAGGCGCCAGGGCAGGGCCAACCATATTGCATATCCGCTTCTGGAGCCTATCAAGAACCCCGAGGCAAACAGAAGGGGCGCCAGACCATATATGGCAGCAATACTCCATGCAAGGGCGAATTGTGGATTTGTATATCTGGAGGATCGACTCAGGGGAGAAAAACTTCCTAGCACGGCTCAGGGAGCCAACTTTCCTCGCAGTGGACGAGGCAATTGACTCGATGTATTTATTCCATCTCAGGTCAGCAGTCAACGTGAGACCGAGAAGCCGCAGAGAGTTGCTCTCGGGAAGTTGAGCGTCAGACATTATAATGGAGGGAAGATGTTTGAAATAAGGTAAAACATTCTTTGAATTAATATCGGCAGCAAAAACTTTTACGCCATCATAGCATTTACTTATAAGGAAGGTATTTTTACGCGATCATAGAATTTACTTATAGGGAAGGTACTTTTACGCCATCATAGAATTAATATTTTCTTACTCTAGTGTAAGTCTCCGGCCATTAAAGGTTTTTTGACGATAGATGCTTTGTTTTTTTTCGTTGAATATGTTTTATGATGAGACCGTGTTTCAAAATTACCAAATTTTAATACAGAAACAAAAATTTCGTTTGAAAATTTATCCTTGCACATCGCCATCAAAATCTTTTTCACTTCTTGAAAAAAGAAAATCAATGTCTATGAATTTCGTAACTAATGGAGTAAAAATACTTTCTTAATCTAACGTGTATTAAATTTATCTTTTCATCTGGAATAAAAACATATTCAATCATCTTTTATTTCATTCGTAATGCTTGCAATAATTCCGAATTCCTGATAATATCTTTTCTTGATTTTAAATATATACATTACAGATTGAATGAAGAAATTTGTTAAATCAAATTTAAATCATTCTAAAATACGATTTAGTCTTCCTACGAAAAAATATTTCCTTTAATATTTTCTACTTTTGTTTCTAAACTGCAATGAATGCATTTATACCATTACATATTTAATGATATGGACGTCTTCTCGCGAGGTAATGGCTAACGAGAGAATACAAAAAATGAGCTTGACTCACATAGGGCTTCTCATGCCTTATGTCAAACTAAGATAAATTTAGAAAATATCCAGAAACAAATGAAGCAATTGATAGAACCAGCGCAATTTGAACCTGCTTCTGCTGCTTTACTTCTTGCTCTGCTTTCATTATATTATTTTTTATACAAACTCAATATTTCTGATCGGAGGAAAAATATTCAATGTTTAAGCATTGAAGTTTACAATAAGTTTTTTACACAACCTTCCTCTTGTTCAAATTATGTAGATAGAGCATTGTCTGTTTTAAATTTTTTTTTTTCTCTCATTTTTCTTACACGATTTCATCATAAACCGCAGGTCGTTTTAAATTCTACGACCTTTAAGCAAGCAGCACAGCTC